CTTCAAAGCTTTTGGCCCCTTGAAAAAAGGAAAGTCCAAAAGCGCCAGAACAAGATTTTTCCTCGATCTTTGTCTCAACCCAAAGACACTATAGCCAGTGCCAGTTTTCAGACGTGCCTTTGAAATAAACGAGGACCAGCGTGTCCCCACTGGATTATTGCATTTCCCTTTTTAATTACAGCCACCCCTTTTGTAAAATGTTACTTATCCCTCTAACTGCACTGAAAACTAGCTCTATCAAAGACGACTTGAGATAAGATTTAAATCGACCTGAAAATATAAGTCCCCCTAAAAGAGTGATTTCCCGGAGTTGGGTTTAAATTAACACTATGGTTTTTAAAATCCTGTAACTATTTGGATGTGCGGCTTACCTTTATAACATTTTCAAACAAATATTTTTCTTAACCACCCTACAAATCCAAGTTTATTATTTTTATTTTTAAATTTTCTTTGTTTATTTTTGAGACAAGGTCTCTTTCTGTCATCCAGGCTGGAGTGTAGTGGTCAGATCCTAGCTCACTGCAGCCTCAAACTCCTGGGCTCAAGGTATCCTTCAGCTTCCAGAGCTGATTACATGCCTGAGCCATCGTGCCTGGCTAAAATCCAGGTTTATACTGTAATATAAAATTCCAACATTTCAGAGAAAGTGAAAGTCACAAAGTTATCCCAGTCCCTGGGTTCCCTGTCAAAATTTTGGTGAGTAATCCTCCGGGTTTTCCCTACTTAAAATATATATTGTGTAAGTGGCATTACTGGTATTGTAATTCCATACATCCTTATCCTTTTAAAAATGGGTAAAAATAGGTTGGGCACAGATCTTCTCACTTAAAAGTTCATCCTCCTCTTTTTAACGACTGCATAGAATTTTATCGCATGGCTGTTCTTTAGGGGACTATGGAAATGTTATTAATCTTCATTGTGGTAGTGGATACGTGGGTGTGTAAAACAGCCAAAGAGTAAAACGCAATGAGCTGTACATTTCAAATAGATACATTTATTGCATGCAAAGTATGCCCAATGACGGTTTAAAAATATTATCCTATTTGAGATTTGTACTTTGATTTTGTAAAACAAAACGAAACCCTTGTTCTTGTACCCAAGAGACACACCCTGGCACATCTGGAGGCAGAAGCTCATGTTCTCTGTTACTTGACCTCGCAGCCTCTGAAATAAGAATAATAAGCTGTATATTTACAGATTCACAGAGGGAGAAAAAATGCTGTGGTTAAAATGTTCATAAATAACAAAACTAGGAAAAGGGCAAAAATAAAAGTTAGAAATAATAAAACTACATCTTTTAAATATTATTCTTACCTTCACCTTTTCCCTCCCCTTTTCTCCCTTTCCCTTTCTTTCTTCAACACTCACCCCATCTTTCCCTCCTTTCTCCATTCTCTGCTCTTGACCCCCGCTGTATTCCAGCCTCACACAACACCAACACACTTCACCGCGTCTGCCTGGGTAAGGTCAGGGAAGGGACGCGAGGCGGCGCTGTCACCGTATTCTGTGAGCCGCAGCGCCCTGGGCACTGCTGACCTTGTATCATTTCAGTGAACGTCGCTGTAGTCTTTGATGGAGGCCACATTCGGGGTGTAAATTAGGATCCTCACTGAAGGGGCGGGACCCTGGGAGGCTTTTTCCTGGCCTCTTAGTTGTGGGTTTTCCTGCGGGCGGTGGAGTCCGTTTCCATCAGAACCGCCCAGAGGCGGGCGCTGCCTTCCTGTGGGGGCGGAGCAGCTGGAAGCGTTTATAGATCCTAGAATCCATGGGCGGCCCGTGGAAGGGGCTGAAGCTCATTTCCCTACTCACCTGGCTCCGAATCCTCCGCGGTGCTGTTTCAAGAGAGTCAGATTCTAGATCGCGCTCCAGCCCGGACTCGGAATTCCTGCCCCGCGGGTCTGCATTTTCACAGCGACAGGTGTGAGTGACCCGCAGCTGGAGACCAGAAGCCTGAAGGCAGCACCGCCCTCCCCAGCCCGCAGCGCCGTCATTCCGTTTCTATATCAGTAAACACGTCTCGTTTTCCGTAGACCACGGCGGGTGACGGGTGACCCCAGTCCTTGCAGTGAACTCCGGGCCACAGACTTGAAAACGCACGAGGGCGCCCAGTGTAACCTCGTCCTGAGTTACACAAGCGACCGTGCTGGGACGTTTCTCTTTCTTTTCAGGACCCAGCAGTGGCGCCTAAAGTCTACGGGGAGAAAATCGCCTCTGTGCTGGTAAGTCCAGGGATCTAAGGCGAGTGCTGAGGGAGAAAACGTAGTTGATGGCCTGAGAAGAAGGGCCTAGAGGTTAGGTAGAGGGGGAGAGCTTTGGACAGAAAAGACCTGGGAGGTTTGGCTGGGGAGGGGCAGCCAGTCCTAGACCCTGGGGAGCGACTCACCCAAAGTCCAAGATCATCACGGCCTCCCCTACCCCAGAAAGGGAGGGACAGGCTTGATGTCGCGATCACCTCTAAACGCGTTGGAACAAACTTTGCGTATTATTATTATTATTATTATTATTATTATTATTATTATTATTATCGTCATTGAAGTATTAAAAGTCTTTTGGGGGGTTAGCTGAATGAGACCCTTTGCTGGAACTGGCACAGGGAGAAAAAGTCCTCCAGACAGGGTAGACACTGTGGAGGGAAGGGCTTGGGACCAGTGTCAGGAGAGCTGGGTCTATCTCCCTCTCTACCCTCACTACCCTTGTGACCTTTAGCAGTGTAAATAATCCCTCTAAGGTGGGGACAGGACCCCAGTCACTGCTGTGCTCAATAAATTATGATGATTGAAATAAACAGTCAGTGAATGTGGATGGGAAAAGTAAGTAATTGTTAAAACTCTGTGATGTATGACATTTTCATCTACAGAAAAGTGCAGGCTAGGGGTCTTGGGGAATGGTTAGTAATCATAGGTATAGTTCCGCTTAAAAAAATAATGTTCGTAAGACTGACGAAGACGGAAGGGACACAGTTCCTGATCATGGATGGTTCACTGTCTAATGGGGGTTGGTACCAGATGCTAAATGACAGCTGGGCCTGGTTGCACTCGCCTGTAGTCCCAACTACTCAGGAGGCTGAAGTGACAAGACTGCTCCAACCCAGGCATTGGAGGCTAATGTGAGCTGTGATCACGCAGCTGCACTCCAACTGGGTGACGGAGTGAGATCCCCCAGCTCATTATAAAGAAAAAAAAAAAAAAGGCAGGCTGAGTTGGTACCATCAGGGATGTTCAAACCATGGACTAGAATAGTGGTTCTAAAACTTGACTACACATTGGAACCACCCAGGGAGCTTTAAAAGATGCTAAGGCTTAGGTCTAACCTAGGCTTACTGATTCCATTGGTTTGGGCTGTGGCCTGGGACCGTGGATATTAAAACCTCTCCAGGTGGTTCTGTGAAGACAGGTTTGAGGACTCCTGGCTAGATGCTCTGAACACAAAGAAATGTGTGTTTGGGAGGAGGCAGTTCTCTCAATTGAAAGAGGCTTTCTGGACAGCGTTATTATTAGTGGGATACAATTCATGTGCCTCATAATTTACCAATTTCAAGTGTACAGTTCAGTGACTTTTAGCATAATCAGGTGGTTGTGCCACAGTCGCCATTATCTAATTGGGAAGACGTTTAACTTTTTTTTTAAGCAGTACGAGTAGGGAAGGAACAAAGAAATCTATAATTGGTCGTGAACTTTCTAATTGGCATGTGGCCCCGCCCTCCCCACTTATGATTGGTCCTAGGATCCAGGCGTCCATTTTCATTGGGTGAGCAGTCGCAGGGGTGGGGCTAGGTTACTGATGAAATTTTGGTGGGGCCTTCTTTCTCCACATCTCGGCTGAGTCCCCGCTTTTTTTTTTTTTTTTTTTTTGAGATAGAGTCTCGCTCTGTCGCCCAGGCTGGAGTGCAGTGGTGCAATCTCAGCTCACAGCAAGCTCCACCTCCCGGGTTCACAGCATTCTCCTGCCTCAGCCTCCTGAGTAGCTGGGACTACAGGCGCCCGCCACCACACCCCGCTAATTTTTTGTATTTTCAGTAGAGACGGGGTTTCACCTTGTTAGCTAGGATGGTCTCGATCTGCTGACCTTGTGATCCGCCCGTCTCGGCCTCCCAAAGTGCTGGGATTACAGGCGTGAACCACCGCACCTGGCCAAGTCCCCGCTTCTTGAGCCATTGTTAGGTTGGCAAAGTTGAGGCCATGGAGCTGGGACCCGTCCTGCTATTCCTGGCAACACAGTGCCGGCACTATAAGAATAGCTGAGCAGCCGCCAGAGTTCCCACCCAGCCCTGCAGCCCTCCTTTTTATTATTTGCTGACCCCGTAGTCATTTGAGTTTATGATCCTCGTTCTGATTTTCCTTATGTAGCCCCCCTGCTTTGCTGCAGGCTTACTGAGAGCTAGCTTCTAAGAGTGATATCATTTCCATTTTAAAATTCCTGACCTCAGTACTTGTTAAAGGTGTACTCACAAATCTAATTATTCCCTGTCCCATAGGAACTTTTCTAAGCGGGTACATGTTAGACACCTGCTGTTTAGAAGGAATAGGGAAATTCTTAATGTCCTTCTTACATTGTTCCAATACTTTCTTTAAGTTTGTACAAGGATTTAAGGGAGCACTGGGTTTAGCTCTTTCATGACCTCTAGATTTCTTTTCCTCCAACCTTCCTGTTACCCCCCTGATCTCCTTGTCCTCTGCTGTGTGAGATGTATGGGCCAGGGAGCAAGTGTTATGGGATCCCAGGTCTTTTCATTGGGTGAGGGCTCTTTACTAGGCCTTCCTTGCTAGTTCCCTAGGGTGAACACGGGGGTTAATTCACTAATCCAACAAACAGCATAACGCTTCTCCTCTTGTGAGGACAGGGCTGTATCATTCACATAGAGAATTAAAGCTGGCATACCCAATCCTTATTTGAGCTAAACTTAGGCTCAAAGACCAAAGGCTGACTGATGGGCTCTTTAGGCCGGATAAAACAGCAATACTTTATTATTTTTTGTTTCTCCTTATTCCTGGTTCGGGGGTTATTCCCCCAAGCCTGTAACATCCTCCTCAGTGGATATCTGGGAGGGTGCTGGAGGGGGGCTCCTTTCTTTGTTCCCTAGGCCTAGAATTTTTGCTTCCCATTTTCAACTGCTCCCTGTGTCTTAGTTTCCCTGTGTACTCGACCCCCCTTACTGGAGGTCTTTTCGTACCCTGCGAGTCAACTACTTTTTCGGTCTCCGGCTGTTTCCCTCACGGGAGAATGGAACGGCGGTTTAGGACTCCGCCCTCGCTTCATATCTAAGATGTCTCAGTCACATGCACTCAAACTCCGAAAATGTCCAGCCACCAAGACAGTTCGCAGAGTCCAGTCTTCCTACCTGGGCTCATGCATGAGGTTGCCTGATTGCCGCAGTGCCTGCTTTCCCTTCCCACCCCCCGCCGTGTCACTTTCGTTGTCTCCTGAATAACAGTTTCGAGTTTGTCCATGGCTTCTGTGGGAAGCCGGGACATCCGGACAGAATGGACCACATGTGTCAAGTGGTACGCATATCCCCTTTCAGCCAGAGTCTCACTTCACGCAAGCACAGAGAACCCCATACAGGCCACTAGATTTTGAGAAACAAACTCACTCATCCAAACCCAAAGTATGGACTCAGAGACCCAGAGAACAGCAAAAGTGAGACTTTTAGTGACAGTTTTGCAACATCGGGTGTCTGGAATGCAGGCACACTAGGGACGGTTTCAACAGTGTATTCCCTAGTGCTCAAGTCCCTCTCCCAGTTCCTCATTAGCTGAGTACTATGGGGTTACGATCTTCCCGGACATCATAAATTGGTACTTTGATTAAGACTTTGAGTATGTTCTTTACGTCTTTTTGCTGCATTTTGTTGCAGCCCATAACGCATTGTGATTGTCTCAGGACTCCTTAAACATTTGACTTATGGCCCTAACGGCTGCACCTAGTTGATAAGAAAGGGTACAATTATCTACGCTGCAAATTAGCCTAAACTAAATTTTTGGTGAGGTGGGGAGGGAGTCGTTGAGGGGACCCCAACCGATAGGCACCTGGCTGGTGCATGAAAGGGAAAGCAAGAAGGAGAGGGAGTGGTGGCTTAGTACATTTTGCTTCTTTATCTCTTTAAATGACCATGTGGGCTGCTTAAACCTATACTGCGGCACATAGAATTGAACATGAACCATCACATGCAGGCTATTTTTTATACTCTTAGGTCCTTCCCAAGCCAGGGCTGAGCCAAGACAATCCACTGTCCAGCTGTGGCCTCCTCCTACTGCAGGTGAGGGGTGGGCAGTAGGGAGGGCCGTGGCACCTGCTCTGTCCCCATCCCGCTCTCTCTGTCTCTCAGGCTGACCAGGGCGCATCCAGGTGGATGAGTTGGGAATCGCTTGCTGATTGCTGAGGGCCTGGATAATCACAATCTTAGAGGGATCAAACAGTAAAGGCGGCTGTGATCTGGTGAGGGGTTAGAAACTGGAGAGAAATTGAGGACAGGCAGAGCCTCTAGTCCCTCCCTCTCTGCATCCCTCACCCATGTTTCTCCAGCCATCAGAAGGACACCAAGAAAAAGACCCACGAGGCTGACTGAGGGCCTCTGCATGCGCAGTTCCCTTTGTGGCCTCCCTTGTACCAGGGAGGGTCCTGAGTGCACACGGCCATCCTCTTTCACTTGGCAGCTCCCCATGCGCCTCATCCGAGACCTCTCTCTCAGGGCTGTTGTGTCCTCTGGGCCACTTGAGGCCGTGCTTTTTCCAGATTCCCACCATGTGGCCCCTGCCTCCCTGTGTTTCCTTGCAGATGATATGGACAAGGTGATAAGCGTATGTCCCTGGGCTATTTGGGGAGTGCGGACCAGCCCTCTGTCAGGGCAGCTGCGGTCTCTGTTTTCATCCTATGTCCAGGGGGTTGTTAGTTTTTCCAGCCCGCGAGGGTCATAGTCCCCAGGGGCTGTGTTTTTTGGGCTTTGTTCTGTGTTCTGTGGCCTCACCTTGCCTTTCCTGAGCCAATTTTTTTCTTCTTAATGTAATCATTGCCTGGTAAGTTTAAAATAAGAGAGAGAATAATTTCCCCCATAGTCAGGTTGTTTGAGGGGTGAGGAAAAGAGAAAGTAGAAATTTTTGTTTCTGCAAAGACAGAGGCAGTGCAGGGGACAGGGAGAGGCTGGGGTGTCCAGGAAACCCGAGTGTTTCTACCATTTCCCCATTTCTGTGTGCCTGGCCAGTGGGGTGGTGTTGTCTCATTCTTGAACCTAATGGCATTGTTAGTTAGTCCCTCAGGCCTGGGCAGATGGAATGGTTCGTCCCCTACCCTGCAGCAAGAGGGCCCCATCCAGGAGGCACTCACAGCACGGGGAGTGCAGGTCTATGGTTGCTCCTGCTCTCACCTGCGGAGTCTCCCGTAGAGGGATTGTCAGCTTTGGTTCCCTGTAGGCAGGAATGGTTTCCTCACAGATCACTGGGACATTGGCCAGAAAAAGGGTATGAAAATCACATGTCAATTTCTCAAAATTCCTGCTTTAAATGTTGATATCCATCAACATAATTTCAGTTGGGACCGATACTGATGTAAAGCATGTTGAATGGAACAGGAACTCAAAGTTAGAGCTTCCTTTCTCTGAGGGTCCATGTGGGAGATGATGGTTGTGGCAGTGACAGTCCCCAGGTGCAGAGGTTGGGTGGAGGCAGCCTCAGGCTGAGGGGTCTGAAGAAACACCCTACTCCACGAGGAAAAGGAGAAGATCCCCTGTGGGCTTCAATGGCAGTGGCCTGGGTGGAATCCCTGCTAGGAACGTGGCAGGAAGGTCCTGCAGCCCCAGCAAGCGGCAGCCCTGGGGTGGAGCTGCATTTCCAGGGGTGAGTGGACAGGCAGGAGCAAGCACAGCCCACATGCAGGTTATGGGGAGGGGAGACTGGGCCTCCTTGAGCAAGGGAATCACCAGCATCACGTCGGGTGCAGACTCCATGGCAGCCACATATTTCCATACTGAACCTGTGAGCCCCAGGGCTTCCTGATGGGATCTCCAGTTAGGAGTTGTCTGCTTAGAGCTGGGAGGAGAGGAACAGTGAGCCACCTCTGCAGTGCAGAACCCACAATATGCAGGGTCTGCCCTGGTGTGCAGGTGCCTCCGCAGATGAGGAGGCCCTGGGGACTGAGTGGGGAGAAGGACTGTGTGTGTGACCCAGCCCAGGTCTGGAGGGACATGGAGACAGGGCCAGTGCCTCTCTTTGGGGAGGCCTCCCACTGTGCCAGGGCTGGTCAGGCGTGAGAGGAGGGGAGGGCACTGAGTTTCCTCCTGGGTCTTGTTTCTTAGTCCTGGGGTCCTTTCACTCCCTGCGTGATGGGTGCTGGGCACAGGGCAGGTGCTGATGCTGATGGAGTCATGGGAGGGGACTGGCAGGGGCTGGGAAAAGTGTCATGGGAGGGAGAAAAAAGTGGGGATGTCATCTTCCCTCAGAGACAGGGTGAATCTAATTTTGGAGTGACTGAGGAGGGAGAAGTCCTCAGGGAATAAAAGCAGCGCCCTGCATGCAGTGGAACATTTACTGTTTTTCTCTTTTCTCCAGAGCATGGGAACCTACAAGGCCTGGATCAACACCTGGTTGGGACAGGAGACCACCAGGGCAGTGCACAACTGGGATTTCAGTCTCCCGTGTCATCTCCTGGGTCCACTGGCTCCACTGAGGGCAGCTAGACTCTGCAGCCAGGCGGCCTGGATTCAACTCCCTGCCTGGGTCTCACCAGCACTTTCCCTCTTGGTGCCTCCAGTTTCCTCATCTATGAAATAGAGAAACTGATAGCATTTATTTATTGTGGTTGGATGAATGAAAAGGGTTAGTGTATATGAGGTGTTTGCAGCTGTGCCATATTATTTTTGTTATTTTATTATATTTTGATATATTGCATATGCTGTAATTGCATTATTATAGGTGACCTTTATGAGTGAGTGTCCTGGTGACGGCTCTTCCTGGGGAGCCCAGGACCAGCTTTCCTGGCACCTTGAGGTCCTATCACCCTTGTTACACTCTCATGAATTACCCCATTCTACTCTATCTTTATATTTTATACTATTGATATTTAGTTCTTAAACAGACATTTCTGGTCTGTGTTTTAATTCAAGTGTCTGGGAAGGGATAGAGTGTGAGGTTCAGGAGAGAAGGAGAGGTCTGCCTTGATGCCTTGACACAGCACAAAGAAATCTCCCCTCCTCCCGCACATCACCCTGCCAGTTCTCAGTGAGGGACAGATTCATAGCAACTTATACAATTATAAGTTGGAAGAATGAGGGAAAAGAGAGAGAGAGAGAGAGAGAGAGGGAGAGAGAGAGAAAGAGAAAGCTGAACTGGAATAGGCTAGGGGTTGTGTCCCACTAGGAACCATAATTGATCTTTGCCATTTTGAAGGTGTGTCCCCTGAGCTGCCTTCAGAGAGTCCTGGAGGGAAACCTGTTTTCACAGAAATACCAAGATGCCATCTGCCTGTTTCATTATGTTGACTTTTCCATTAATGCTGCAAATGCCATGGTAGGTAACACACCCAGCACCTTAGCAGAACCAAGGCAGTGGCTCCAAACTGCATTCCCACTTAAGAATCTTTTTGATGGAGCAGTAAAAAAATTTATGTTCATTAAATTTTAATCCTTGAGTACATGTCTTTAATATTTTTGTGAGAAAATGGGAAATATGCATAAAACACTTACTGCACAGAGAAGCAGGATGGTAACCTTGAGAAAGGGCACTTGTGTGACTCAGTTATGAGTTCAACCAGCAGATCTCATTCACCCATGGAAAGACAATGGCATTATTTCCAGTTTGGGGGTATTATGAATAAAGCTGCAAGAGTATTTGTGTACAGGTATTTTGTGAACACAAAGTTTTCCCTTCTTTGAAATAAGTGCCTACTAGGGCAATTGCTAGTCATAAGGTAAACTACATGTTCAGTTTGAAGAAAACTGCAATATCCATTTCCAGAGTGGCTGTCCCATTTTAAAATACATTACTACCAGCAATATAAGAGTGACCCAGTTTCTCTGCATCCTTGCCAGCATCTGTTGCTACCTTTATTTTGTATTTCAGCCATTCCTATCATTGTGGATTTAATTTGTGTTCTCTTACTGGATAATTACGTTGAGCGTCTTTTCATCTGCTTGTTAGCCCGGTGTTTATCCTCGTTAGTGAAACATCTGATTGTGTCTTGCTCATTGCCTATTGTGTATTTGGATTTCATTTTTACTGTTGAGTTTTTAAATTTCTCCATATATTCTGAATGCAAGTCTTTATTGAATATGTTGTCTGCAAATATCTTCTCTCGTGCTGTAGCTTGTCTTTTTAGCGCTTCACAGGTCTCTCACAGAGCAATAGCTTTTAGTTTTGATAAGATCCAATTTGTTAATTTTTTCTTTGATGGATCATACTTTTGGTGTTATGTCTAAGAACTAGTTGTCCAGTCTTAATTCTGATGATTTTTTCTTAAAAGATTTGCAATTTTAAAATTTAAATTTATTTATTATTTATTTTTAAAAAAATTTTTGCCTAGGCTGGCCTTGAACTCCTGGGCCCAAGGGATCTTCCCACCTCAGCCTCCTGAGTAGTTGAGAATACAGGCCTGTGATACCACACCTGGTTCAACGTTTGTCATTTTAATTCTGTGTCTTACATTAAAGCTTGTGATTCATTTTGAGTTATTTTTTGTACAAAATGTGAGGTTTGGGCTGAGGTTATTTTATTCCACTGTGCTTGTCCAGTTGCTCCAGCACCATTGATGGGAAAGCGCTCCTTCCTTCATTGAATTGCTTTTGTGCTTTTGTAAAAGTCAGTTGAGCATATTTGTGTGTTTCGCTCATTTTTAGTTGAGTTGCTTGTCTTCTTACGTTGAATTTAATAACTTGTCACATATTCTGGATACAGGTTCCTCATCACAACTGTAATTTGTGATAAATTGTGAAATATTTTCTCCTAGTCTATGGCTTGTCTTCTCATTTTCTCAATAATGTGTTTTGGAGCACTAAAGTTTTCAATTTTTTTTTTTTTTTTTTTTTTTTTTTTGCGGCGGAGTCTCACTCTATCACCCAGGCTGGAGTGCAGTGGCCTAATCTCGACTCATTGCAAGCTCCACCTCCCAGGTTCACGCCATTCACCCGCCTCAGCCTCCCAAGTAGCTGGGACTACCGGCGCCCGCCACCACACCTGGCTAATTTTTTGTATTTTTTAGTAGAGATGGGGCTTCACCATGTTAGCCAGGATGGTCTCGATCTCCTAACCTCATGATCCACCTGCCTTGGCCTCCCAAAGTGCTGGGATTACAGGCGCGAGCCACTGGGCCCAGCCTAAAGTTTTAACTAAGCCCAACGTCTCTCTCTCTCCCTTTTTTTTTTTTTTATTTGTAGATCATGCTTTTGGTATTTTATCTAAGAATCTTTTGCCTAACTACCCAAAGTCACAAAAATTTTCCCTGTATTTTCTTTGACAAATTTTACAGTTTTAAGTCATAAACGTTAGCTCTTTAGGGCTATAATTTGTTTGAGCTGATATTTTAAATGGTGTTAAGTGTCACATTGTATTACCTATGCAGCTTCATTGAAAATCAATTGACAAAAAAATGTAAGAAAATCTTTCTAGATTCTCACTTCTGTTCATTGATCTCTGTGTCTCTCAGTTTCACACTGTCTGGATTATTGTAGTTTTCTACGACATTCCATTTTTTTTTCTAAATTTGTGTTGGCTCTTCTACATCCTCTGCATTTTCACATACATTTTTAGGATTATTTTGTCAATTTTCTATAAAATTTCTGCTGGGATTTTGATAGAGATTGTGTTGAAACCATAGATCTACTGTGGGAGAACTGCCATCTTAACAGTGTTATTGAGCTTTCCAACTGCATCTCTCCATTTATTTAGACCTTTAATTTCTCTCAGTAACATTTTGTACTTCTCAGCGAACAAACACTGCTCTCTTCCTAAATTTATTCCCATTTTGCTCTGTTTGTAACTACTGTGATAGGAAAGTTGAGGTTGTCATTGCTTGTATAGAGAAATAGGTTAATAATTAATTTTTATATTGATTTTATATCCTATGGGCACTTCTGGATTCATTTGCTAGTGCTAGCAGGCTTTTACCTGCTTGTGAATTCTACAGACAAGGTCATGTTATCTGTGAATAGAGTTTTATGTTTTCGTTTTTACCTGGATGGCTGGATGACTTTAATTTTTCATTTTTTGCCTTATTGCACTGACTACAATCTCCAGTACAATGTTAAATAGAAGTGATGGGATTGGACATCCTTGCATTGATCCCCATCTTAGAAGAAAAGCATTCAGTTTTTCTTCATTAAGCATGAATTTAGCTGTGGGTTTTTTATAGATTCCTTTTATCAGAGTGAGGAAGGTCCCCTCCATTCCTGTTTTGTTGAAACTTAAGAACACGAGTGCTGTTAACATTTTTGTCAACTGTTTCTTCTGCACCTTTCGACATAATTATGTCTTTTATTCCATTAATATGGTGCATTCCATTAGTTGATTTCCAGTTGTTAATCCAACCTTATATTCCTGGGATGAATCCCACTGGTCATGGAGTGTAATCTTTTTTATGTGGCGTTGTATTGTCTGCCTATGTTTGTTAAGAATGTTTTCATTTATGTTTATTGGTGATACTGGTCTCTGGTATCATTTTCTTGTGAGTCTTGCTCTGACTTTCATATTAGCAATGCCAGTTCTGTAAATGAGCTGGAAACTCTTGACTCCTCTCTTCTCGTCTGAAAGAGCTTTTGAAATATTTGATAGAATTCACCAGTGAAGATATCTGGGCTTTGGCATTTCTTTGTGAGAAAGTTTTTAAATTACTGACTTAGTGTACAGTTCTATTCAGATTTTCTATGAGGAGGAGTCAGTTTTGGCAATTTCTATCTTTGTGTGAATCTGTCTATTTTATCTAAGTGGTCTAACTTATTGACTTGAGGTTTTTTTAGAGTATTCACTTAAAATGCTTTTTAATTCCTGAAGGGTCATTAGTGATGATCTCTCTTTCGTTCACAATTTTGGTAATTTCTCATAACCTCTGTTTTGACTGTTGGTCAAGAAAACAGACAGAGGCAGCAGATGGCTCTGTGACAGATTCTCTAGTGGGAAGGCTTTGATCATACAGAGCTGGCAAACCAGACTGATGCCAGCAACCCCAAAGGAGCTGCAAACTGATCTTGACAGGAAAGTCACTGACTCTGGATTGGGCTATGCTCAACCAGGGGTAGATGTCAATGCTTCAAGGGCTATAAAAGAACCAGAAAAGAAGAGATTGCACCAATGCAAACTACTGAGTCCCATTTCTTTACACAAGAAAACACACTTTACAGCCACAAACAGCCAACAATGCACAGGGAGATGTCCTCCTTAGGGGAAAACTTTGATAGAACATTGAAATGGTCCATTGAAACATTAGTTGTCTAAAAACTGCCAATCTAATTGTTGGGCAATTTATATCTCCATTAATGTGCTCACTGTCAACATGGGTAGGGCTGCAAGAGTGACTCCACTAGGTCACATCCTCTCTTTTTCCTGATGCATCAGGGCTATATTGTTAAGACTATACATACAATTCTTCCTAAGGGGAGAGGATGCTGGAGTAATGACTACACTTCACCTCAAATTTCTTTTTTCATATGTGATGCAGTGGTATCAGGAATAGGGATGCAAATAAAAGTGCCAGAAACAGGAAT